TCCCCCCCCCCCCCCCCCCTCTTTTTCCTTGCCCCCCTTATCACGCCCCTACCCCATGATAAATGAATCGGCAATGGGCAAAAGAAAAAGCATGCATTCCACGTAGACACATGGCCACACTTGATGACAAACATACCCAACACAAATTCCACGGGGAACTGTTCTCTTACATTAAAAAAAAAAAAAAATCCGGGGGGGGGAGAAACAAAGTTGTGAGGATATCCAGCGGCCTAGCTCAGTCGGTAAGACACACAAGTGGCATTCAGGAGGTCATGGGTTCAATCCCCTTTGGCCTCATGTACCTTCCTGGGCAAGCTTGGCGCACGCCACCTAGAGATATGCGATTGATCCCCCTGAGTGGCATTGAGCAGAGACTGCTGATGCTCATAAGGGGAGGGGACTGAAGGGGAGGCACAGTGACTGGCCCATCAAAGAAGCTCGGTCCTGATCCTACCGGCAGACCCCTGGCCGGTATCGCCCACCTGCTGTAGCTGGGGTATCGCACCTGCTGGTGGGTGCAGCTCCCGCATGTGCCCTTGTTGGAGGCTTCAGCACATATGTGGCTGCTACGGGGTTCCCCGTAATACTATAATGACAATAGAAAAAGCTTAGGCCTAAGGCCGTCCTGTCCTGACTCGACAGGTAATTGAAGTGATTGGGCTTAACGAATTAGCCTTCTGAAATCTGGTCCAGCGTCCCTGAATAATTATGTGAATGTATCTGCTGGAAATCAGGTCCAGCGTCCCTATGCAGCGATGTGTTGACGACTCCACCTATCTATTGTATGCACTTTTGGACAATATATGTCAGATGATGAGAGAGCCCTATCCATCTGACCAACGGTATCTCCAAAACAAACAATAGAGACCAATCTAATCAATCAGACGAAACCCTAGCGTTGATGTAGTGTGTATGACGTATTGAGGTGGAACTCAAAGCCATCTTTCCTATACAGTGATGAGTTGAGATGTCAAGGCGAACCTATCTATCAGACGAGGGGACGAATCCCCTACGTCAGTGTGATGTGTGTAAGCTGGGAATCATAACCAGCTTCATCTACGCAATGATAAGGTATCAAAAAAGCAATACACTCCATCCTATATATATGCTTATGTAACATATTTCTTTAAAAAAGAACATAGGCATTGATTACTCCCCTACAAAAGGGAAGGATTGACCTCCTGTTCCTGAAATATTATTCCTACTCGAGAATTGTTAATTTCTGACTTCCTGCATGCCTGCATGCCGGCAAAAATATTGATGTCCACCCCCAGCAAGCAGTCTTCCAACCCGCCAATAGCAGATCGAGCTGGCGAAGCCCTGACCTATCTCCCATCCGAGCTCAACGAGGGGGAGAGCATCAAACCAACTCCCACCCTATGTCATGCAAAGAAAAGGAGATGAACACAGAGTACACCATCAGTTTGTAATTGTTGAGCAGAGGTATTGATTACTTCCCTACGCCAGGGGAGAAATGCCTCGTGCGCATGAAGTATGAACGCTGCGGAAAATATCGAGAAACATCTTCATCATTGATCACCTCATCAAAGGAACCAAATCAGGACTCATGCCCTAAACCGCCAATCAACACCCCTGCTTATATTATACAAAATCCTCCTCCCCAGCAGGCAATCGTGAAATACATCGCAAACCTGAGGGGCGATCCACCCCCTCCTGCATTGAGATTGCCGACCAGGCAATCCCAATCAACCAAGGGGGCAGCCGGACCCAACTATCCTATCCCCATGTGATGCCAGCGGAGGAGAAGCAAGCGATGATAGAGTTTGAGGGAGGGGAGAAGTATCAAACCCTTTCTTCCAACCCCAACCCCAATCCCATCCCTAACGCGATCTCCGCTGTCGGTGAAGAAACTGATGTTGAGACTATCATTATAGTTATCGTTGTTGTTACAGCCTCCCCTCTCTATCCCGCTGTTCCCATGATTGTCGTTGCCGCCATCGTCGTGATAGTTGTTGATCTTATTCCTGTTGTTGTTGTTGACATTGTTGTTGTTGTTGTTCTCGCCATCGTTGTTGATATTGTTGTCATCCTTCATACCCTCTTCGCCCATTTTGCCCCATCCCTGCTCACCATCGTCGTTGTTACTGTTGTTGTAGTTGTTGTTGTTGTTGTTGTTGTTGTTGTTGTTGTTGTTGTTGTTGTCGTCTCCATTGTCATCCGCGTCCACCTGCCGCAACACACCCATCATGCTGCAGCCGTGGATGTCGCCCTCCCCATCATCATCATGATTGTTGTTGTTGTTGAAGCTGTTATTGTTGTTGTTGTCACTGTCACTATCCTTGATGTAGCTGTAACTGATGTTGTTGGTATTGTTAGTGTTTTCGCCGCAATCATCTTCGCCGGCCACCAATCCATCCTCCAACCCGTCGTCCCTATCACCCTTGCCATCCATCTCACCCATCTCGCCGCTTCTCTACCGATTCTCCAACTGATTGCGTAGATCTCGCCCCAGTGTGAAGAGGGTTTTGCAAGCAGCCATCTTATCATCCGCCCGCCTTCAGTCGATGTAGTCATCGAGCCGGGGATCCGGCCCCTCCAGCTCCCACATGATGTCTAACATCTCCTGAGTCCGATCGTCCAACCACTGGTCCATCGAGATCGCTCCCCCATCGATCTCCACCCCCTCCTGCTGCCGCAGCATAAGCATCCCCACTATCGTCTGCATCTGCTTGCATCCCTCCTCCAGTGTGGTAATCCATGCTCCTGCTCGATGTTGTAGCTTCCCCACCAAATCCATCTCTCCCCCCATTAGCTGCGCCACTCACACAGTTCAACTGAACCCTTGTAATCCCACGGCTGGCGCTACCCCTGCTGACGTGTCACGGGACATCTACGTCTCCAAACAACAGGCACATCTCAAGGGCACCCCCCTCTCGGAAGAAAAAAAAAGGAGGCCTAAAGCGGAGGAAAAAAAGGAATGAAGAAGCGGCTTAGAAGCCTGAGCACAACCTTTTTGTTATTTTTCTTTAACAAAAAAAAAAGTTGACGAGTGAGAGAGAGAGTTTGTAGGTTTCCTTTGTTTTTGCGTTTCTGTTTTCGGAGAGAGAGAGAGAGAGAGAGAGAGAGAGAGAGAGAGAGAGAGAGAGAGAGAGAGAGAGTAGATTTCGTTCGTTTTCGCGTAAAAATTGTGAGTGCTGGCTTTATTCGTGTTTGTTTTGCTGCCCAGGGTTATGGTCCGAGCTTGTGATGAGTGAGAGAGAGTTTGTAGGTTTCTCTTGTTTTTGCTTTTTGTTTTCGGTTTGAAGGGGGAGAGAGAGAGAGAGAGAGAGAGAGAAGAGTGCGCCGCTTTAGGCAAAGCAGTTTAGCTGGCTTTAGTGTTCGGCGGTTTTGTTGTAGGTCGACCGACTTATGAATTCCGTACTTTGAATTTTGGCCTGTTCTGGTTTGGTGCTGTATGTTCTTTAGTGGGGTTGGACGGTTTTTTAGGGTTTGTTTTTGTTGACTTCGACTAGTGCCTTCTTAGGTTTTGTAGGCCATAGATCATGGTTGTGCAGGAGGTGAGATGCTTCTGTTGGTTTGGTGATACTTACTGTTGTGCCTCTGTCCTTCTGCATTTTGTTTGGGTCTTGCGTTCATCTGACCTTTAGAGGCAAATTGGCGAGCACAGCCCCGCCGGGGCTTCACCATGGAGGGCGGTGATGCTCTGTCAGGGGGCCTAGCAGACTGGGGTGATAGAGTGCCCTAAATCGCGAGGAGGAGGGAGGGTTTCACGGGGTCTTTGGCCCCTGCCGTGTGGGTAGTAGGGTACATCTGCTGGTTTGCAGAAGCACCATCATGGTGGGAGTTGGTGCCTTTGGTAATGGAGAGTGCGTGTGGAGGTGCGATCTGCCCTGAGTCGCGAGGAGGTGGGTGGCTTTCGCGGGGTCTGGATACGGGCCCCTGCCGTGTGGGTGGCAGGGCGGTTCTGCAGGGGGGCCAATAGCTGGATGACTGCATTTTTGGCTTTGTTGGTTTTTTGTAGTGTAGGTTTGGTCACTTGGTGTTTTGTACGTTCTAGATCATGGTCGGTGTTCTTGGCCAGAATCTTTGTGTTTTGATGTGAGGGATGCCGGACCCGTTTTCCGGTCTGTATAAGAAAAAGGCGACCTCGGTATGAACCTGGCCGGTGCGCCAGGATCTTACCGAAACTGGTGGCCCCTTAAAAAAAAAAAGAGAAAACTAGGGCGCGGTCAGGGTTAGAGTTTTCAAACTTACGTTTTGGAGTCCAGTCCCCTCTCAAGTTCACACTGCAATCCAAACTCCTCGGTCGCGTGGCTGTCGCAGGGCAGAGTTTCTTACTGCAGTCTAGTCATCCACGTCGGAGAGCCAGACCGTTTTCCCAAAAAAAAAAARAAAAAAAAAAAGAAAAAAACAAAAAGAAAAGATTGTGGCACTGTATCTTCCTATGTTCTAGATGAAGATTCACTGTCTGTTTCCACGATAGATCTCGAAATGTGCAAAACGAGAGTGAATCTGCCCTAGAACGTGGAAAGATACAGCGCCATGATTTTTGTCTTTTGTGCAACGGGGATATAGGGGCCCAACGGCATACACCGCCTGACAACAGCCCAAAGGCCCTGAGGGATACACGTGCGGACAACAGCCCAGTTTCTTCTTTTTTTTTTTCCCCTTTTGTTTCTCATTCTCAGCTTTCCCGTCCTATGCGTGTCATCCTTGGGACCTTGTGGCGGTGCATCTTTCCATGTTCTAAGGAAGATTCATTCTCGTTTTGCACACTCTCGAAATGTGCAAAACGAGAGTGAATCTTCTCCTAGAACATGGAAAGATGCGCGGCCATGATTGTTTGTTTTTGTGCATGACAAGAATAGTGGATAAAAAAAAAAAAAAAAAAAAAAAAAAAAAGAATAGTGGATCAAGGCCCTCTGTTTTTTTTTGTTTTTTTTTTTCTATCTTGGCCCCTTCGCGTGGGCCAAGGCCGCCATGCCTCGGCAACGTCCGAGATGAAAGAAAAAAGAAAAAAAAAAAAGAAAACCAGAGCATCTCGTAGCAATGCCTCAATGTGCAAAACGAGAGTGAATCTTCTCCTAGAACATGGAAAGGTGCACCGCATGGGCCACTGCCGCGATGCCCGGAGATGAAAAAAAAAAGAAGAAAAAGAGAGCATCTTGTGGCGTGGCTGGGCCACGGCCGCAATGCCTCGGCCACTTCTGAGACCGAAAAAAAAAAAAAAAAAAAAAAAGGCCGGACTGGACTGCAGTTTCAAACTCCGCCTACGACTGTTCTGCATGTCAAGAGTTTGGACTGGATTTGAAACTTGGGACCCTACTGGACTCTAGAAAGGCAGTTTGAAATGCATTTACAAACTGCTTTCGTG